GCATATACCACCGAACAACCAACAAGATAACAAAAAGAGCAGAAGGATTAACTCCCATCAAAGAGTACCCCGTAGAAGCAGCAACAAAAACGATATGTAGAGCAGAAGAGCAACTCAAAAAAGTTCTTTTCTAGGACCCCATTGGCATACACCTCAAAGAGATACCCCATAGAAGCACAACCACCAAAACAATATGTACGGCAGAAGAGCAACTCGGAAAAAGCCTCTTCTAGAACCCCATTGGCATACACCACAGAGAGACAAACTTATATATGGGTAGTTCGGCAACTGGGACTATCAAAAGAGCTCGACTAACTTCTAGGACCTCATCGCAACAGTTTTTACAGAATTACAAAAGCAACAACAGTGTCCTAGAATACCTCCTTTCTCTTTGTCTGCATGTACTATACAGAACAGTCTAGAGACCAGAACCAGGAGCAAGATTTGGAAAAACGTTTCTTCTTTTAGCTGATTATAAAAGGGCTCAATTTCTACCAAAAAAATAATAATAAAAGGGCCCAATTAAAATAGTCAATTTTGTCTCACTCTAGTTCTCGACAGAAGCAACAATTTGAAAGAATCCCAACATGCTTTTATAATCAGCTAGAAAGCTTTAGGTATCCAGACAATATAGCAACAAAGCCTTACGTAAATGAAGCAACGGGGAACACCATCAATCATGACATTCATCCACTAATTAGCTTATCTTGGGATGAATAACTTTGAAAAGATATAAATGAAATTGCTAATTAATTATCTAGTATTTTTTCATAATACAAAAATTAGATGGAAATTAATAAAAGGAATATTATGAAGATAATTAGGATTAATTATCTTAATATATTATATTTTAATTATGTGAAAAAATAAAAAATAAATGAAAAAATAAAAATGAAATTTCTAATTAATTATCCAATATTTTTCCATAATAAAAAATAAGATGGATAATTAATAAAAGAAATATTATGAAGATAATTAGGGTTAATTATCTTAATAGATTATATTTTAATTATGGGAGTAATTATCTCCCTAATTAAAATGTGACTTATTCCCAAAGAAAGAGGGAATATTTTGGGTTTTCTGCTCCTATAAATAGCAGACCCTCTAAACATACCTCAGAGAGCAGAAACACGAGAAAGAGAGTGAGTTCATATAGCTTCGGTTTTCGCACAAAACCGATGAGCAACAAAATTAGAGTGGTTGTTTTATCCTAGAGGCGGTCGGCTGATAGTCTGTCGTGCGCAATGAAAGCAGTGTTGCGAACGACTAAGAGAGCGACCTAGTCCGCGACTCAGCTAGATCGGTAACCCTATTTTTCTGTTCGGTTTCTAACAGCTTATTCTAGCAATTTTTTCAACGGATAGAGTTCTCTCGAAAATCACTTCGATTCACTCCCTCTTTTGATCAAACAATGGAAAGTGGTAAATACGAGAAACATTCCTCAGCTGGAAAAACCATGGCATCGGAAAATCCTTCCTTCAAACCCCATTATCAGATGTCGTCCGTCATCGGAGTAACAATTTCGCATAGAAATTCTGTTGTTTATCACAATCGTAGTCTGTAGAATCATCGGGGATACCAGCAACAACTTAGTGCCTCACGATAGTCTATGAGAGATACAGAGCGGCGACTTAGGGCAACCGGGACGAACATAAAACAAGAAGGGAAGAGGTTGTTCCCCCTTAACTTGAACGAGGCGAAGATTCTTGAAGTCGGCGAGAATAAACAGGGAACATAGAGGATGAAATGCTTCTCCAATCTCAAGCTTCATTGAAACCCTAAAACGAAGAACTAAGCCGAGATCGTTTACCTTCTTGGAGATTCCATGAAAGCGTATTGGCGGCAGGAAACGGTAACAATAGCGTGAACCGATAGCCAGTGTTAATAGATGAAAGAGGTTCGAAGTCGGTTTCTGCGTGGCCACTAAGTTATTCCAACATGTACACGTATTTGCCGCGTGGTTTCTGCGTGGTCGCTAAGCTATTCCAACGAGTACACGTATTTGCCGCGTGGTGACCGGGTTATATTTTTGCTGAGTTGTCCTGCCAGCTAGACACATGCATCTTTTTGACTTTTTCTCACGAATACCTCTTCCAAGAAACACGTTTATGTGTACTTTAAGTCGGTTAACATAGCCAATAAAAACTCTGCTATAGATAGCCCAATTAAAATTGCCAAAGTTGGCCCACTGAGAGTAAATGGGTATTCGAATCTGGGGATGTAATCAGCCCCACCAATCCACCATTCTAATTTATATTTTATGTACTAAATTGTAATTTTTCAGTTGTAAGGATTGAAATACTATACTAGATATCGTACTAGAAAATTTAATGGTAGGATATTTATGCTAAAATCGTGATTTAACAGTGGTTCAACCGTTTCATACCGCTTACTGGTTTCATTCACGATAGGAAATTTTTCTGGTCGAACCGCCACTATGCTACGGTTTTTCAATCCTTTTTTCTTTTTTGTCTCGTGGGTTTTAACTTTAGAAATTTCAAATCTCTAAAATTTAGAGATAGGAAATCTCTCAATACTAAACTTTGATACATGAGATTTTTTTCACCTAGCTACTTTATCTCTTCTTTTCTTATTTGTGCCACTAAATATGCTCATTAATAACTTCTTAATATTTTTTTAAGTCACTCTGATTGTTTTAGTTAAAGGTAATCATGCCATTTGATAAAAAAAAAAAAATATGACTTCTGTCTTATTGAAGATTAACAATCGCAGCTACAAAATTTTTAAATAAATTTCAACAATCCAAAGACTGGTAATCTAGACAATCTAGAGATTAGACTTCAATTCTCCAAACAAGCCCTAAATAGATTGGATTAGTTGAAATTTGTAATAGATGGATTGAATTAGGAGTGAAGTTTTTACAGTAATTTTACAATTCTGAATTTTGTAGGCTACCTTTCTCTAATTTAATAATTCAATTCCGATTATGTCACCTCATATTCACTCCTTCCCTAACTTTAAGCCATGAACGTCCAATATCAAGGTTAAAGGTGCAAGAGTTGGATCTCCAACAAACTATGGAGAGAAACAAAAAGGTACGTAAAAGGTGTAGAAAGGGGGAATAAAAGGTGGCCGGATAGACCCTTGGATTGGTTGGTTATATGACTATGTCACTAGAATAGAAGGAACACGACAACAACGTATCTACGAGACTGCCGCAGAATAAGAATAATATCGTCGCAACTTCATCTACATCAGCCCTTTTCTGGTCTGTATAAAAAGACCACTCAACTACGTACATAATCTCAGTACCACAAACACACACAGAAAAAAGAAAGAAAAAAAAAACTATCAAAGCTTCTAAATTACCTAACCATGGAGTACTACTATGGATATGCATCAGCTGCTCGTAAATTAGCTGTGGCGGTAGCGATGATTGCGGTGGTGGTAGGGTATGGTGGCATCGGCGGCGTCGAAGCGGATTGCGGCCACAATGCAAGCGATCCGGCTATGGCGCCTTGTCGGAATCACTATGCCCTTTGCATAGACCAAGTTATCTCGGGATTGCGGGACACTACGCCGACCAAGGAGGGATTCTTCGACTCCAAGTCCGTCCCTGCAGGTGGCTTCCGCGGCAGCGTTACAGGCTCGGCCAGTTGTGTCCCGGGGACCAGCGTCGACAACTGCAAACACTGTCTTGCTACTGCCAAGATCTTGCTGGACGAGTGCAAATCGGTCACTTCTGGCTCCTTCAGCAACCAGGTTTGCACCATGTGGTACGGCCAGATCATGTGATCATGAAAAGCCCTGAATAGCGAGTGATGATCGATTAACAAGGACCCGCATTCCTATTGATCGAGATAGCATTGTTCTATGTATCCCCGCCCTGTTGCCGGTTGCTTTCGAGTATTTCTCTTACCGCACGTGTGTGTGTGTGTGTTTGGAATTGATGAAGTTAATTAAAAGTGTCGCCAGAGTGGACGAGCTACGGTTTAATTTCCTTTTCAAGTGTGGTTTATGTCTTGGGTCATGAACTCATGCTTAATTAGTGCATGCCTGTTCTTACTTCTTGTGTACGTTTTAATTTAGTGCGAACAAATTTGCTTTGTAACTTGCTCTGACGTTTGTAGGGGCTAATTAACTACATTTCTAGCTCTTTTTTCATAGTTTTCTCCAAGGACAAGCAATATAGATACCAGAATCGGGGCATGAGATTTGCGGATTCTGCCAATTCAATGTGGCTATATTTTTTCTTTTATTATGGTGATGAAATGCGTTAAAATAAATCGAGAAGGGAACAATACAAGCAAAACACAAAAGTACAAAGGAGGTTCACACCCCAAAGAAAATGCAACCAAAACAAAGGAAGAAAAAGGGGCTGCTAGATATGGACCAAACCATCCCTGCAGAAGCCAAAACAAACCCAGAAACAAAAGGCTCACGAACAGAACCACCCCTGAAAAAAGGAACAATGGAAAAACTAAACCCCCCAAAAGGCAAAGAAAGAAAGTGTGATGTTGAAACAGCAACACCAAACCAAACGAACACCAGGAGACAGCCGAGAAGAAACGCACAAGGTAGATGAAGGGATTTTTTTCAGAAATAGCACTGTTTGATTTTTTTTTTCCATAAATAGCACCTAACCCGAAAAAATTCCAAAAGTAGCATCATTTTCCTAAAAAACGCCACCCGAACCAGCGGTTTAGGCAAAAAACGCAACCCGGGGGCGCGTTTTTCTATGAAAACCGCATTAGTAGGGTGCGGTTTGTAATATATATTTTTTTTTCTAAAATAAATATCAAACGTGTTTTTGCCACAACTGGTTTAGTTGTTTAATGTGTGCAAGAAGTCGTGGGTTCGAATCCCCACCATCCCATTTGAATTTTTTTATTTTTTAGAGATTAAAAAAAACAACATGTTGTGGGAGTGGTGGATCGAACCGAGATAATAAATAGTTTACTAAATTTAGCACAACATCTAAACACTCAACTAAACTCTTCTTTTGAAACATTAATATGTTCACAAAGTTTTACTCCCTGCAAGCTAAAAATCCTCAATAACTTTAAACAGCCATAATTTGTGCTCCAAAATCCGAACGTTATGAACGTTTTTTTCATTTCGCATAACTTTTTAAGGACTACAATTTTTACTAGTAATGAATTTTCAAAACATGAATTTTTTTTTTTTTTTTTGGATATACAGGATTTTAGGAATAGCTTACCTTCCCTTTTTCAGCAATCCACGTACATTTCGAAATTATGTCTATGATAAAAGTTGTAGTACTTAAAAAGTTATGCGAAATGAAAAAAAATCATGTCGTTTGGATTTTGGAGCACAAAGTTATGGTTGTCCAAAGTTTGACGAAATCAGAAAAAAGATCGTTCGGGTTAGCAAACGACATTTGTTCGGGACGAAGGCGGGACCAAACCGCCTTCGGCCATTTGCGGCTTGAAAGATCTCGAAAAGTTATGTGAAATCGAAAAAAATCGCGACGATCGGATACCCGAACACAAAGATACGTTCGTTTGAAGTTTCCACCTAGGTTAGGATTAAAAGAGAGAGAGAGAGAGAGAGAGAGACCAAAACCGCATGGTGGGGGTGCGGTTTGCAAAACCGACCCTACCCCTACGGTTTTCGTCGAAAAACGAGTCCCCGGATTGCGGGTTTTGCCTAAACCGCTGGTTCGGGTGACGGTTTTTGGGAGAAGGGTGCTATTTTGGGAATTTTTTCGGGTTGGATGCTATTTTAAAAAAAAAATTAAACAGTGCTATTTCTGGAAAAATCCTGCGGATGAACCGCTTTCAGTCATCAGACATGCCGAGGGAAAGACACGATCCATGTGGCTATGTTAGCTAATCAAGTATGAATGATCCTTCAATTCCTTTTTTAAAATTAGTCGAAATATGAAGAACTTTTGGGGCTGGGTGCCTAAAGCAGAATTATATGGTCTGATACTAGAGTTTCTTATTAGATTTTTGTGTGAAAAAAGGAGTGTGGCTCTATTGCACATAAATTAGATTTGATGATAGTGAATATGAATTTATCTAAACCCGATATTGTCCAATATTTACTTTATCTTTTAGAGAAATTATAGAGTCAAAATAAATAAATAAAAATTCGATTAGAAAATAGAATGGAATGAAATTATATTCAACTTCTTATTCAGTCCAAATAATTAGCGAATTATTTTGGTCTGATGTGAACAAAAGTGTTGTCAGTTACCAACGGGAACCATTGCTTTTTAATCTGAATATAAATATGCTACAAAGTCAAAAATAACCATGTAAGTTAACATTAAAAAAAGAACCTAAAGATGATATCTACGCAAAATTCAGCTAACGACGGGCACAATATGCTAATTATTAACTCAAGTTGTTTGTTCCGTCCGTATGATCACATGTGTAATTCCAAAATCACTCCGGCCATTAACGTTAAAGTTAAAGCAGGAGAAAACGAAGAAAAAAAAAACAATGCTGACCCTACGAGAGTGGGCAGAATCCTACACACTCATACCTGCGAGAGAAACAAAAACACGCAACCCATAGATCGTTGGCAGTTTCCTGGCTTTGGTCCCTATAAAAAGGCCAACGATACGCAACCCATCTTCTCACTACGCCACAACGGCAAACCAAAACAACGTAACTCATATTATTAGCTAACCATGGAGGAGTATCGCTACTACGCATCTTCTGCTCGCAAAGTAGCAGCTGCAGTTTGGATAGCTCTGATTGCGCTGTTAGGGTATGCCTGCGCCGGCGCTGGAGCGCAATGCGGCAGTGAAGCGCCCGTCGATACCGTGCCTTGTCGTAACTACGAGCAGTGCGTGGACAAAGTCATCACCGCGCTGCAGAATGCAACGCCCAACAAAAAGGACTTGAGTTACACCAGGATATACCCGCGTGGCACCTTCGGCGGCGTCACAGGTTCCGCCAGTTGTGTCCTGGGGACCGAACTCCAACACTGCCAAGAGTGTCTTGTTGGTGCCAAGGCCGTGCTGGATGGCTGCAAATCTTACGCCGCCGCTGGCTCTTTCGTCGGAGACGTCTGTACCATGACATATGCCCAGTTCCTCCCTCATGAATAATGACACTAGCTAGTACAGTATTGGTGTACGGCCTAGTAACAATATATAGCACTCTCTTTGGATTTTTCCCTTCTGTCCCTTTGAAGTCGTTTTGAATAACTACTTTCTGGAGTTATGTTTAAAATTGATCTTGGGTCGTCGTACGTCTCAAGGTCACGCGTGGCAGAGTTGGGATTAAGATCTTGGATTCAGTCACGTCCTCGCTAAATATTATATGTTCATCATAACCATTAATCACCATCCCCATCTGTACCTCTAAACATATAAGGTCGGTGCAACTAAATTATTTGAGGGCTGTTGGCCACCCTTTTCTAAGCAACAAGGGTTACCCTAATAACCAAATCAAAGAGAATCGCAGCTGTATCAAAACCGAGATTCAAATCTCTATCACTACTAGAATAACATAAATGCATATGACTTCACCTATTCTAGGCCAAGAAGTTGCGCTGAGTTTGATCTGGTTTGTACTCCGAAGAATAGCTCTTCTTCCATATTTTCTTGTCAGGAATACAGCAACATACACCCTCAGCTGGTTCATTTGAGGAGGAATGGCTTGGCTTCGAAAGAGTTATTCCCTAGAAGTTCATCGATGAATGCCATGAATATGGTTATCTTCAAAAGAGTTATTCGCTAGCAGCACGATGATCGTAACATCTGAATCTATTGCAATATAGCCCTTCCTATCACGTGCAATGAATCTCTCACTAGCATTAATTATTCGGGTAATTACCTGTGCACCACCACAAAACAGGACAATAGTGAAGGAATATGTCAATTAGAAGTGGCAAATGGATTGATCCATGGATTGGTGGATTGGATTAGTGGATCCATGGATCAAATGGGTTGGATCCAATGAATTGGTGGATTCATGGATTGGATCAAGTGGATTGGTGGATTATCCATGAATCCAAATGACATCCTCAAATTTATTGGTCAAAATACCCAATGGGAAGGGTATTCCAGTTCGTGGAGAAGGAGTTTCTAAGCTTATGAATGGCTTAACTCTTCATCATGTCCTACACGTGCCTGAATTCCAATGCAACCTCTTGTCAGTCAGTCGTCTCACGGACGATCATTCTGTTGCCGTGATTTTTCAGAGTAATTTCTGTGTGATACAGGACTTAAACTCCATAGAGATGATTGGGATGGGTAAGCACGTAGATGGACTCTATTATCTTCGAGTATTCGAGGAAGGGCATCCTGTAGCTGTGAACTTTTACTGCAACTCAAGCAAACAAAACACAAAGCAAGTAAACGGTTGTTGTCAAGTCAAGAGAGGTCACCCGGATATGGTTCCCCCTAGACTGCAGTTAAGTCAGATTGCAATTTACCAAGTTCAGTTTTCATGAAAGTTATACTGCGGAAGGTTCTTAATTAGCCTGAAGTCTCGACTAAAGGTCTCCAGACCCTCTCAATCTGAGTCTTTAGCGGGCGACTAACCTCCACCGGAGTAAACAGATTGAGGCCCTAACGAACCAAACCTCCACTATCGAATTAAATTCGGTACAGAATAGCGAATTGGCTCCTCGACTAAAGTCACCAATTCGCCACCTTCGATTAAGGATACTCTATCAACCTAGGCAGATATTCTCATTCTAGGTCAAAGCAGAAATAACAGGAATTTGATCAGGATTCAAGTCATTCAATCATTCAAACCTCAATCGAATATAATCAATTCACAAACTCTGTACTTGGGTTCATACAATGAGACCTAGCATACAAATCTAGGGTTCCCCATACCCAGATGAATGGGGGAACTACTCCATAGAGAAAGAAGCAAAAGCAGATTCAGACGCGGAAATCATACTGTGAAGATGGATTTCTGCTCCTGGACGTTTAATCGCACTTCTCCAAGCTCAAACCGGGCTCCAATGGTGTTGAAGATCGATCTATGACGCTTGGGAACTCTGGTTCGTCGCTTTCTCTCTCTAGGTATCGCTTTCTCTCTCAAAAACTCGGACCCCCTCAATGTTGGCCTTCTTTCTCCTTAAATTGACTGCCTGGTCGCGATACCCGGTCGAATTACCCGGTCGGGTATTTTGGGTTTCGACCGGGTATTATCGCAGCGCACCGTTTCGTTTAAGGGAAGAATCCCCGGTCACTCGCCATAATCCTCGACCGGGGATTTTGCTGTTGTGCCCGGGCCCCTCTCTGCTTCTCGGGCGCCCAAAAGTGATGAATACCCGGTCGGGTATTTGGCCACCTGACCGGGTATTTTCCTCCTTCAGCCCACTTTGTCCCAACTTCGCTCCTTTCGACCCAGAACTCGTTTCTCCGCCTCGATTCCAACGCCGGGACCTGAAATATGACATAAAAACACACAACCTAGCGTGAAATCGGCTTAAAACACGAGATTCCTCATCACAAACGGCTTCAGAATAGGGGTGAAAACATGTATAATTATCGGTCTATCAAACTCCCCCACACTTAACCGTTTGCTTGTCCCCAAGCAAACCTAACTTAAACCAATGCAGCTCTCCAGGCCTCTATAGCAACAAACAACCTCGATCGTAGGTAGAGGACTTCCTAGATCATTTAGCAACTTACGAGGTCAACCGACGCACAAGTCATCTCATACCTTCTTAGGCGAGAACGCTAGTCTCGAGTCGGCATCATGGCAAATAGTGAACAGAGGACAAATGAATCGTGGATGAAGGGACTCTCAAAAACAATCAATCATGGACTCACATTAATTCAAGGTGCTCGATTTTCCTTTTGAACATGGTTGGAACCCTTTTCTTTCTTCTTTTTGCTTGTTTTTCTGTTTTTCTTTTTTTTTTCACGGGTTCCAACCTGTTTCTGCAGAAAACGGGGGCTCCCACCTAGCAAAGGTTTTGCGGGAGCCCGGCTCTTACCGGCCATGCCAGGAGCGGGTGTCTCGAGCCTCGTGCGGGGGAAAGACATGTAAGGGGGCTGGAGGTAGTAGGTGGAAATTGGGAACGGATTCCCGTCTCCCCTTACACACTTTCGCCCTATTCGCACGGGAGACGTTATTTTAAAGCACATTTTCGAGCACCTGTTACTTTCAGAACATGATACAAGAGTCCATGACAGGCAGAGAGTCCACAACACCACACAATTCAAGGGTCCTAAAATCACTAATTCACTCAATCAACCAACACAATATGAAGAAGAAATGAGACTTCTTAAATGCATCAACATCCTCCATAGTGCTACACTACCTCCCTAGGTTGCAAATCACTACAGAGACTGTCAATTCAAAGCATACTGAGCAGGCAATTGCAAGGAACACGTACTTGGAGCCCTCAAATTTAAAAATTTGGACAGTGGACTAGGCTCCAAGCACACAAACAGAGCTAATGCAGTCAAAAGATAAACATCCCCCCCACACTTAAGATCGACATTGCCCTCAATGGAGAAGAGGGAAGGAAAGGGGAACGATGTTACTGGTGTGCACAGACTGCAGGAGACTGGAAATGGACCAGTCGGCATGGGACGGACTGGAGAGAGGACCAGTCGGGAACACAGGCAGAGCTAAAAGAGACCAAAAAGCTCAAACACATACGTTAGGTCCAACAGCCAGCCCAATAGTACAGCATCCAAAATGAAAAGAAAAAGAAACAAAAACCGACACAAAACAGACAGTTTGCATGCTGACACAGATAAAAACTCTCAAAACATGCCCTTAGGGCCCTCCGAGACCGGAGAAATCAATCTGATCCGTAAGGTCGTCGACGCCATCCTCCGGTGGCTGCCGTGGCGGTGAATGCTCCCACCGGGTGGTCCAGTGGTGCTCCTCAGGAGGGTGGCAAGCCTGGAGCAGATGCTCGGAATACTCCATCAGACGGCGGCCTCGATCTCTCTCCCGCTCGATGAGAGCAGTAGTCACTCCCATGCTGGTCTCCAAGCGGCCTAGGCGCTCATCAACGCCCGTCATCCTGGACCGGTACTCGGCCTGGTGGGCCGAATACTGCTGGTAGAACTGGACCTGATGGTCCATGAGCTGCTGGTTCTGAAGACCAAGCTGCTGGAACTGGAGCCCCATCTGCTGGAACTGCTCCGTGAAGAAGTCCACCGACGGACCAGAAGGACCAGAGGAGGACTCACCTCTCACCGGTCTCCATCGAGGCTGAAGGTCCCCAGGCGGGGAGAGCGGGGGCTCCGGCTCATCGGCATCCATAGCTCCGTCATCATCATCAGCCTCATCCTCATCGACCTCCTCTCCTGAATAGTCATCATCCTCCGCGTCCTCATCAAGATCCACAACCTCCTCAGGGGGCATAGAGAGCCCATCCACCCAGGTGCGGATGTCGTCAGTGGCCAGGAGGCGTGCACTGTGGAGCACGTCCCGGCTGAGGGGTGCGGAGCCGCCCTGCTCGGTCGCATCATGAAGCCCCTCGAATCTGATCCCGAAGTGGCGGGCCAACCGGGTGATCAGAGGACCACAGAAGAGGTGGGTGGGATTACCGCGGACTCGGGAGAAGGTGGTGGCCACGAAAGATCCCAAGTGGAGCATGTCCTCCGGATCCCCCATACAGGACATGGCGTACAGGACCCGCTTCGGAACCTTATGCGAGCCGGTGGCGTTGGGGACGATGGAGCGGGTGATCAGCTGGTTCAGAATGTGCCACTCCGGTCTGAGGGTACTGACGTAGGTCTGGCCAGCCACGAAGAAGTCATCCCGATAGGCGGACCGGACAACACGTGTGTAGAAATTATCCTGGTGCCAGTCGGGCGGGTTCGGGACCTCGACCGTGTGGCCATCGAACGGGTGGTACTCGATCCCCAATGCTGAGGCCAACCCGTCAATGGTCAGCTGTCGGGGGCGGCCACCCAACCGGAACTTCACTGCATGGGCGTCCCGAGGCTTCTTCTTGTCGTACTCGTACGTGGGCTCGTCGATGACAAGCAGTGTCCGCCAATCGGGGTGACTGATGGCGGTGCTGAGCTCCTGCAAGCAGTGGAACTGCTCGAACACTGCCCACTCGAGGTGGTAGTGTTTCTCCAGTGTCCCCCGGATCACCTTGCGGAACTGGTCC